GCGCCCATCCATAATAAAAAGTGTCTCACACGGCTGCGGGGGGTGAACAAAGTCCTCCTGTAGCGAATCGATGTGTTTTTGTAAGAAAAATAACCATATTTAAAACGTAAAAATCAATTTAATCTAGCTTGTGCTCACTATTGTACACAGAAGCAGCTCCGGGCGGATGACGTAGGACGTCGGCCTTTGCGCATGCACCGCTCAGAAGTGACGAATATATAATTCCGATTGGATTCATCTGAAAGAAGGAAGTCATATACGCCTATGATGGCTTGAGGGTGAGTAAATAATGGGCTAATTTTCATTTTTGGGTGAACTATCCCTTTAAGTATGCAGTAACCAATAGCAGAACCATTTTTTTATTTTTATTTCTGCTTTTTGACACGATAATAATTAAATTACATAATAGTAAGACAGTTGTTATACTACAACAGTAAAACACATGTAATAATAATATAATAATAATAATAATAATTGAAATATATTATTAGATATGATTATTATTAAATTATTATACAAATATTTGTAAAGCATATTATGTACAATAATTTGTATAATATTTTAGTGTATTATTGTTATTAAATATTCAGAATACATATGTGTTTTACTGTTGGTGTGTAATACTACTGTACAATATATATTTTTATTTTGTATTATTATCATCGTTATTAGTCAAACCTGTTGGTTCTGCTGTTTTTTTGACACAATAATAATTGCACAGTTATTAGACTACAAAAGTAAAATACATAATACTAATAATAATGTTGGATATATTTACTTATGAATATACTCATAAGTGTGTGTGTACTGTATGTGTGTATATATATATATATATTAATGTACTATTATTATCAATAATATTTTGTAATATTTTATATTATTTATATTCATAATACATATGATCTGTTTTACTGTTGTAGTATAATTCTACCGTTGTTCAATATTATTATCATTATTATTCAAACCGATTATCTCTATTTTCTGCTTTTCACAAACTCCTCAGTATAGTCACTCTGTAAAAGTAAATCAATGAAAGTTATAGTACTTGTTGAACCTGTTATCAAAAGCAGAAAACATTTTTCTTTGGCGATGTACATGCAACATACCAAAACTCCAGGCACGTTGAACGTAACGAACGCTTTGGCCTTTTAGTCGAATCAAGCTGAAATATTGACACAGGTCTGTGAAGTCATTTGTGATTTACTGTGTAGCTCTACAGTCTGTATATACAGAGGGAATGTATGTCTCACTGGTGAGTTTTTAGTCCGGGTTGAGTGGTCTCAACGACCGAAAGCATTGATTTGTTGTCTGGCGGTAATTATGCGTGAGTGTTGCCGTGTCCGTGAGGACCGTGTTCATTCTTGCTCTTGTCCCACCATCGATTCGCACAAGATTATCTTCCGTGTGCTGTGCTGTCCACCGAGCTCAGTAGAGCTGTAATCCTATCACACACACACAAACACACAGATTCGCTCTGAGAAATACACTTGGAAATACATTCGGATACCTTCTCAGGACTATGCACCACGTTTCCTGTTCGTTCCATTCAAAAATACACCATGGGAACCATAGTTTCATGACAAAATACTATAGTTACCACAGTAATACTACTGTAACAGTGTAAAAGAGTTTCTGAAATCTTTTGTCTAATTTCTTTTTTTGATGACACTGGTGACTAAAACCAACCTGATCACAGATTATTTATGGTAAGAACTGTTGTAACATTGGTATTTTGGCAGAAACCAAGGCCACGTTCACACAGCAGCCGAATACAGTTGTCAGTCCTGCATTTGAATCGTTACGTTCACACACAGTACGGTTATTTATGGGAGTGACAACCACGTTCTGTAACTGAACTCACTCCCTTTCAGATTTTCAGATCCGCCCTGCGTGAACGGAACCGGACTGGACAGCTAGTTTTCTCATAGTGCCAGAGAGCCGCTCTGCTGCACAAACGTGTGTCTATCTTGTGTTTTGAGTTTTCATGTGTGGTTTCGGTAACTTACAGCGACACGGGTAGGAGCTGTGTGTCTTCTGAAGGTTTTAGTTCCAGTCAATGTTCTCCACCGGAGCTGCTCCCGTCAGTTTTATGTTCTACGTGTGACTCGAATGCTCTGCTCTCCACCCAGATATAAAAGCTGCTGTCAGTTAAAGAAGATTTGACGGATGAACTTGCAGCTCGATTGGACTCTTGTCGTGTCAAAAAGTGAAAAGAAGCTTCAGTTTTATGGACGTCGCCATCTTTGATATTACGTTGGTCACTGTCGCTATGGTTACTGGTATGGAACACGGGCGTGCCTCCTGCTGCACGTTCATACATAAATGTGGTTGTTAATCCCAAAAACTGACAGTGTGAACATAGCCTATGATTACTCCTATACGTCTAGAATAAAAACATACTTATTTATACTGGTTTTGTGTAAACTGTCCCGTTTTTGTTTGATAAACAATTATGTTAGTATGCTGGGACACCATAGAATAAAATCAGTGAATGTCTGACATGAAAGACTTACTCGGGTACACTAATGTGAAAGTATGTTACTGTAGGTTACACTGCGTGGTGTCAAAGAAGAAAGTGTGAGAAATGTCTCGTCTGAAGCAGAGCTAAGAATCGCTGTGAGTGTGTGTGTGTGTGCACGAGCCTCGATTTTCACGTCAGAGAGCAAATAAGAGAGAAAGATAGCAGGAAAGAGACGGTCAATTAAGCACAAAGTAACAGCCAGACAGATATGCGAAGGCCCCCTCCTCATCTCACTGTCTCGCTTTCTCCAAGTGCTGATGTCTCATCTACTTTAGCAGGGTACTTAATTACCATTCTCTCTCGCGCGTGTGTCGCCTGACTGCTCCTAACAGCCCTTTGTTCTTGCTGGCATTTGGTGTATAATAGATGTGACTAATAAATGTTAGTGTTAATCACACATGGAAAATAGAGCCTC